GTGACTATATCGTGATTTGCATATGGAAAATAATTTTGACATGAATCAGTTATCCCTCTGTATAATTAATAATTTTGCCAGACAGAAGGCCAAAAAAATTAACTTTTATCTGGCACAATTAATTAATTTGATTTATGCGTTGTTGACCTCACCTAGACAAATATAGCTGGCAAAAAAATAAAACATGCGGATTAATTTAACAGTTAAAACGAGTTATGCATAGATGTATAAAAGTTTGTTTATTTACAACACTGTAAATGTTGGACCAGGGATCATCCTTTTTTGAATAAAATATTTATGAACAAAGTTAAACAAGTCAGTTAAATACAACAAATGATAAACACAGTGAAAAAGAAACTAAAACCATATGTTGATAAACTTCTTAAAGTTTTTTTTTAAAGATACTGCACATTTGTAAATTAAATTACCAGTATTAAAGACGTGTTTAATGTAGTATAATGCGATCTACTACATTCCAGGATGGTGTAGTGTAATACAATCTAGTACTCTGTCTGTATTTCCAGCTTCCTACAATGTAGTAGTATCTTAATTTTTTAGATTTAGATCTATGACACTTTCTACAATTGATAAACACTTAATAAGAATGTGTAATTACTCAACACAAACACTTTGCAGTTGTTCATTGTTTCAATGTGTTTAGAGAAACGTTTTAAACACTTTTTTTTAAAGTGTAGGTATATTAAATTTCTAATAATTTCTTTCCAGGCAGATTGTGTTATTATGTTAAGAGTAAAAAAACACAAAATCCGACTTTTTTTGGCACAATGACAGGTAATATCTTTGCCATCAGTTGCACCCGATGAATTTCGGTTTTTTGTTGTTGTTGTTTTTTTTCTTAATGTTATATTTCTACTTGAACTCTTTATCAATACATTTCTGCAAAGCGAAAGTTCTTAATTCTAACATTATGTTTAACCTTATAAGCATTACTGAATATTGTACTTTTTTGGGCAAATCATTTATTAGTTGTTGCTGTTTTTCTTCTGTGTGTTTGTGCTATGATTTTGTTTTCAGCCAAAAAATAAAAATCTGAATTTTGTTTAGTATTTTTAGGTTGAGGATTAGTCAGACACAACCAGCTAGACTCTGATTTTACTTGTTACTAGTCAAAGATTAATGGGATCTTCACTTAGAAAGTCATTGGCTGCAACAGTATAATTATTTGCCAAGAAAATACAAATCAAACTGATGACAATTGGCACTATTGCTACAGATACTTAAAATGTGAATACATATTCAGTTGCTGTTAAACTTCAAACAATAGTATAGTAGGCTACAGCGTTATAAACACACCGCAATTGGCACTATTGCTACAGATACTTAAAATGTGAATACATATTCAGTTGCTGTTAAACTTTCAAACAATAGTATAGTAGGCTACAGCGTTATAAACACACCGCAAGATGATTTTTAATCATTCAAAAACAAATGAATGTTGTAATCTGACATCGTTTAACTGTATGGCTCCATAGTACTTAAGCTGCCATTTTGTTTGATCATCACGTGATCGTAATGAAGACTACGTAAAGACTCCTTGAAACGAAGTATTTCTTCGTCCATTACTTTAAATGTTGATTGTCTGCTGGCGTTACGTATGTAATGCAATTGGGCAGAGGACTTTATTTTAAGGCTGAAAACGTGAGCATGTCTTGTCAAATTATGAAGGTTACATTTCGTTTAAATAAATAACCCAAATCTTCTAGTATGTGTAAAGTTTGTTAGAAACTTGTGTCTCTTACTTTACCTTAGTGTTTCAACAAATTTCTTAATATACGTGATGGTAATATACAGCAGCTGATGGAAATCTGTAGCAGGTACTTTTTGAAAAGCGTAGCGCTTTAAATGCGTCAAAAAATAAACTTTAATTCCTCAGTCATGTACAGTAATACATTAATCCTACTTTGTAGCACAATCGTCAGCCAATTAGGGAAAAACCACTTCAAGTAGGCCTAAACGTAAACTAGTTATAACGTACCCAAAGTCCAATTACGATACCTTAAATATTTCATTTTATCACGTTTTTCTTCGTTGTTTCATTTTTTTGTTTCACGAAATTTTGTTGTGATTACTCAAACAGATAAGGAAACAAGAAAAGATAAGAGACAAGACAAAATTATTGCCAAGAGCACACGTGTAAATATTTTATTGGTCATAGTGATATCACACGTGTAAACTTTTCATTGGTCATAGTGATATCACACGTGTAAACTTTTCATTGGTCATAGTGATATCACTAGTGAAAAAAAAAGCTCTAACCAGTTGTTTGGTGCGTAGCAAAATATATCATTTTCTGTTACTTAGTTGTATTTAGTTAAGAAAAGTTAACGATAACTTTAAAAGATTTATTGTTGTAGGTGGGTGGATTACTTCCATTTTCTTTATAAAGAGAGTTCAAATAAAACATGTCAATCCATTAAATTCATAAAGCTATGAAATAAATCATTATGTTTTATACTAACAAACAATACAAGTAAACAACGCCAGTCTCTGACCAATAACCAACAACAAAAACATTAGTTATTTACATAGTCAATCAAAGTTTACCTAATTAACCACCTGTTTTGAATTTATCGTAATAAATCCTCTTCTTTAACTAATTCTAATTACATTTCTATCATTGCTGAAGTCTAGGTAACTAATATTCAAACTAAATAATGCAATAATTATATTAAAAAAAATATTTCGCTGATCCGGAAGTTACGATTGTATTCTTTCTTCCCACATAAATAACATTGTTGTTCTTGACAACTTTACATAATTTCAACAAATATGGAAGAACACTGATTAATTCAGAGTCATCAACAAAATACGATAATATATGATTAAAGAAGTACACTTTTTGTCTTTAACATCACTAGTTGATTTAAATTAATAAAGGAATTTAACTGGCCGATATGAAGACAGTTACTACAATAGTATATTGTAAAATTTTACACTGTTTGTGCTAATCTTACGTGTGTATGCGTTGAGAAAAAGCATTTGAATCTGGAAAAAGGCACACGAGAAGGCACACTGCTAATATATAGAAGTATATATATATATGTTCACATGAGTCATATGCTGTAACAATACAGCACTAAGTGCTCATACGATAATTGTGTTAGTTCTCTTACAGTGGGTAGGGGGGAAACGCTTAAAACTTAGTTTGATAACTTAGAAATGGAAATCTAAAGTTTGATATCTGTATTAATATCTTCTAAATTAATAAAATGCTAGTTTGTATTTACGTTATTAACATCCAACAAACACGCAACTTGCCATTACGTCATTAAATGGAACAAGTCATCACAGTGAGACCGATAATAATTTTAAACGATTTTCTCTTAACCCCTTGTGACCCTAAACCTATATTTTACAAAAAGGTTAAAAGGTCAGTTCAGAGACTTGTAAGGTCAAGCATAGTCACCTCTAATTTAGAACTGATGGACAGCAGTCAACAGCACCCGCCGCAAACATGGCTACTCTTTTACAGTATAGCTAGACTTAGAGTCACTTTTTATGGCGCGCTCATAGATAAAAATGCAGAACTTCATCAGCGGATATATCGCAAGCTCGAACCTTAGACCTTTCTAGCGGCCAGTTAAAAGTGATTTGTTCAAAATTATTATCAGTCTCGTCGCGATATTTGATCATGCTTGTCACTCTCAACAGGACCTAACAATAATGTTTGGTTTGTTTCTTGTTGACTCCACAATACTGTACTTTTATTCAATTTGACTCAAAAATACTGGAGTTGTATTCAGTTTTGACTCCACAACACCTTACTTTTATTTAAATTTGATTCAACAATACTTTACTTTTATTCAAAGTTGACTCAAAAGCATTGACCTTGTATTCAAATTTAACTCAACAATACTGTATTTCTTTAATTCAAATCTGACTCAACAATACTCTAATTTTTATTCACTGTACTTTTATTCAGATTTAACTGAACAATATTGCATTTTTCAACTCAAACTTGACTAAACGATAATGCATTTTTCTATTAAAATTGATTCAAAAACAATATATTCCATATTGAGATTTAAACATGTAATAATTACGTTTTTATTTAAATCTGTCTCGACAAAAATACCTTTTCAGATCTGTCTCAAGGTAATCTATTTTATGTTCAAATTTTATTCCAAAATACTGTATTTTCTCGTTACATTCTACATGACATATTTTAGGTTTGTATTAACAGTAAGTTATGTTTTCTTCGATGGGATTTAACCACAACATATTTTAATATTTTTACAATGTAACTGGTATTTTAAGATCCCCTATGACCTAACTTACTCCACTTCCCACTAGGGGTCTGTTTAATTAACGACTATAGATTTCTTACATTAAGCAAAAACACTTTACAGACGTATAAATGGAGAGTATACTGCATCACTTCAATGCTTGAACCACACGCCACATGCGTTTGGTTCTACGTGTCAGATATTTCCATAAATCCAAACGTCTGGGGGGCGTAGGGAAAGTTGAAAGTGAATTAATTTTGTCAGAATAGTGCCTGAATTTGGTATGAGGGTTCAGGAACAGTTTCATAATTACAATGACAATTTAGGCATCTTTGTCTTTTGATATAGTGAGAGCCAAGACATGAAGGAAATCGGAAAAAAAAATTACAAACGAATTAATGGCAAATTAAGAAAGTTACCATGTTTCATGATATTTTTTGTACCTTAATATCTTTATCTTCCCTTTCCAACTTTATCTCAAGCTAAGAAAGTCATTAATTTTTAAAATATTTATTGGCTTACTGTGAGATTTATTTTAGACCAAAAACTCATTTATGGGGACTTGTCCCTCTTGTATGGGAGACAGGGAGTCCTAGACCCTATGTTCCGACTTCTATGATTAAAGTTTTTTTGTTATCGACTGGTAATTACTTATAAATATAGGTTGGTTACCAATAGTAACCATATTACAGTTATGAAGTTTAATTGTGGAAGATATATATATATATATATTATTTACCGGCACCTATCTATCGCTAAACAAGACTGAAGTACTTCTGAATCTGTACAAATAAGTTAATTATTCTAAGGCTTTTGGGTACAGGATATTAGTACTTGTAACGATTTGATGAGGCAACAAAACATCAGAAGTATATTATACCGCACTTTGAATTTTTTTTCATCGAATTTAAAAAAAACAAGAAGTTATAAAATATAATTTGTAAAATATTTTAAAGCGTTTTTCATTCTATCTGGGTAATAAAGACTCGCAAATTTTGGCGTCCTAAATATTTAATAATTCTGCTGGGTTTCATCACTTGGTTTTTCTTCTTCTTCTTCTTCCGGATTCTCGGGCTGAACTTCCGGTGGTTTCGCTCCTGATGGGGAAACCTTAGGTGCAGCATTATCTGGTTGTCCTGGCAACGCATAGCCACCTGGGTACACAGGCGTAAACATTGGCGGAGGGGGGGCGTACATGAAGTGAGTAGGGGCAGCTAGATGAAATGGAGAAGCAGGAGGAGGGGGATCCGTTTTTTCTGGTTCCGGTTTCTTTTCCTCCTCATCCGTTAAGTGCCACCAGAATCCGTAGACACATCCTCCAAAGCCAAGTAGTAAGACTAGGAAACCTGCTGTTACTACTGCTACAGTGAACCGCATTCCATCGTATTCGCTGGAGTTAGCCTTGGCGTGAACTGTGCAGAACATGGCCACAACTCCAGCTAGGAGTACTAAAATTCCCGCCACTGACGCAACCACGGAGGCGCCATAACATGCTCGAACACCTTGCTTCATCTTGACGAACTTACTTCTTCGAAGCGACGTATAAACTGAAAAAAAAGATAAAAATAGGCAACACTTTCAAGTATGGTAAATCATTTTAGTGGCGTGAAGCTTTGTTTTTTTTTTTTTAAGTATTGCTTTGATAAATTGCAACCATATTTACGTACTGTACGTAGCGTCACTGTAATATACGTTATGAAATTAATATAGACAACTTTGAGATCTAGGTCTTTAAAGAAGCAAGAAAGTCTTAGCTTGTAATTTCCACCAGATGGTGCTTAAAAGGAACCGTATAAAAAGTGTTAGGTTGTAAGTTCCACTACATTGCGCTTAGAGAAACTGTGTAAAAAGTGTTTGCTTATAATGTCCACCAGATGGCGTTTAACAGAAGCTGCGTAAAAAAGTGTTAGCTTGTTATTTCCTCCAGATGGCGCTTAAAACGAGCGGTATAAAAAGCGTTAGCTTGCAACTTCTGCCGCATGGTCCTTAAAGGAGCTGTACATTAAAGACAAATATAAGCAACTCGACGTTCAAAAACTTGCATATAAATTTATTGAAACACGAACGGTTTAGCACCCCTACTGGCACAGCAGTATGTCTGCGGATTTACAACGCTAGAAACCGGGTTTCGATACCCTTGGTGGGCAGAGCACAGATAACCCATTGTGCAGCTTTGTGCTTAATTTCAAACAAACAAACGAACGGTTTAAAAGATAGAAATTAAAAACTTACTGTTGTGGTTGATTACAGTTTAGTAACTTGGAACATGTAGACTTGTGTTCGTTTTCTTTAACATTAGGCCCGGCATGGCCAGGTGGTTAGGGCTCTCGACTCGCAATCTGAAGGTCGCTGGTTCGAATACCCGTCACACCAAACATGCTCGACCTTTCAGCCGTGGGGGCGTTATAATGTGACGGTCAATCCCACTATTCGTTGGTAAAGGAGTAGCCCAAAAGTTGGCGTGATGACTAGCTGCCTTTCCTCTAGTCTTACACTGCTAAATTAGGGACGGCTAGCGTAGATAGCCCTCGTGTAGCTTTGCGCGAAATCCATAACAAACAAACAAACTTTTACATTTATGCACATGAAATCAGTGAAGTATGACCAAATGTGGCTTGGCTATTTGAATACCAAAAGTAAATGAAACTGAACCGTACAAATAATGGCAAAACACTTGGCGCTAAATGTGTTTTTTATGAATATATAATTATGTTGATTCGACTAGAACTAACTTTGTGTTAATAATGTAAAAATTGTATTTCATATTAATTGAATTATTTACGGTGATATTTTTTAACACAGTTAATGGCTGCCAGTATAACTAGAGTTTCTTACTGTTAGAGAAATCCTGGGATTTTTATTTTAAATTCTGCAGAAATTTTCTAACACATATATATTTAGATATATTCGAAACTACAGAACTGCGTTATGTATATAAATGTTGCAGAAAGTGTCAACCAACATAATGTCGTTTTATTGAAATAATATTTAAGCCTATACATAGTACAAACAGGTAATATATTGGTATAACGACGTTCTGTCGTTAATGAATTCTTTTGAAGTATCTGTTGAAAGTAATTCAACGTCCTATCCTTGTAACGATGATAAATTACTTTATTTCCTCTTTTAACACTTATACAAGCTTGAGCGCTTGTACATTGCCGTAAATTTCTGTAGGCCTACGTTACAAATGGCATTAACTAAGATATAACAAATAAGCTTACTTCTACAAAACAACCGCAATAACAAACACAATGACTGGTTCACTCTCTACATCTCACAACTGTCTCGTACATACCTTTAGAACCTGCTATAACACTCTATATCACGTTCTTAGAATTACCTAAATGTTCTAGGCCTATCTTATTAAACCTTAACGCCATCATTAAAACCCACATCCCCCTTATAGCTGACATTTAAATTACAACATTACAAACATAACTTACAACCGAATGTATATCTAATTAACATGCCTTTCCATTCCCCCGCAATTTTCTTTAATGATTTTGTTGTGGTCATTTTTTTATGTTTCTTATACATCTGTGGATCCTTATTTCTGATACGTTTGTCTTCATCAGTAGACTTTGTTTAACCCGTCATTAATCTGTCGCCATTGTGAACAACTTGTTCGAAATGTGTGCTGGTAATGGCATCATTCGCCTTACTTGCCATATATATGTTATATATTATCGTTAAATACTGAATCTAACACTTTTGTTATAAGCTATATTTTTTAAAGTTGTAATGTAAATGTTAGCTAAAGGGCGCATTACGTTAAGACTAAGTTAGTCCTAGAATATTAATCAACGAGAGACTTTACGAAACACCTTGAGCAAGGATTAATAAGCTTTCAGTGAAAAATCAAGAACATATAGAGTTGTTTTAAGCGGTTAAAAGATATAAAGTTGTTTTTGGAGATGAAGTGAATAAGTCACTGTGTTTTCGTTTTCAGTGAAGTATTTGGATTTGTATCTGTATCTCTATCATGCATATTAAATTAATTTATACAAATTAGTTTGTTTGGAACAAAGCCACATTGGGTTATCTGTTGTGACCACTGCGGGGAATCGAACCCTGTTGTAAGTTCGTAAACATGACTTTGTCACACGTAAAAATAAGTTTATTCTTTACGTCAGCGAATTTAATAATCATGAAATAGTTGTTAGTGTCAATTATAGCTATGTTTATCGTGTAATAAAAGGCCTACTCAGTAAATATGATCGTCATGAAATACTGAACATTATAAGTTATATTTTTTAGATAATGACGATCGCAGACGATTATTGGTTATTATGTATTGTGTCAGAATTACTTTTCCGATGATTGAGTCTGAACTAATATTTATTGGCCGATGTTCTTGCACGCTAATATCGTTGAGGAATAGCCTATAGAATACAAAATCACACTCATTATGTTCCTGTTTTTAGCATTTATGATGGAAATTGTTCATTTTCATTCCCTGAAATGTCAGACTGTGGATCTGAGGATAGCATCCATTTAGCACCAAAACAAAAATACTGCTCCCAACTTTGTGGTGGTAGTGATGTTATAAGAGTGATGATAAAATCCCACTATTCGTTCTGAGAATTTTAATTCGATTTTAATTCTTTCAAAATTAGGGACCATTAGCACATCTAACCCTCGTGTAGCTTTGTGCGAGATTAAACAAACATTTCCTGGCTATCAAGAATTTAGGCTTAGCTAATTAGGCTTATCTATTTGTGAACAGACTTGGCTATCAAGAATGTAGGTTTAACAACTTGTAAATAAACTATAATGTCTATTATGGTTTTCCGTTACAATTTAGGCTTAGCTGCTTGTAAACAAACTTAATGTCTACTGTGATATTTTCCATTACATTTAAGGCTTAATTATTTGTGCACAAACTATAATGCCTACTATAATATGTTCCGTTACAATTTAGGATGGGCTATCTAAGAAGAGATATGACTATAAAGAATTTAGGCTTAACTAATATGGCTGGAGACGGCTTGAATGGGTAATGGAGAAAAACTTTAATATAAGTTTAATATAACAGCAAATGTACAACGTTTCGACAAGGTTTTGTCATAATCAGGTACAAGTAATTTACACTGACACGGATATATATATATATACAGTATTGAACAAAGAAGTCACATGACCGGAACTGTTGCGAAACTTAGAAGAGGTATCTAGGCGCCCCGGGGTATTGGTTTAGAGTAGGGTT